CACTGTATGTATGTATGTGTGTGTGTGTGTGTGTTGTGTGTGTGTGTGTGTGTGTGTGTGTGTGTGTGTGTGTGTGTGTGTGTGTGTGTGTGTGTGTGTATATATATATATATATATATATGTATGTATATATATATATATATATATATATATATATATATATATATATATATATATATATATATATATATATATATATATATATATATATAAAGAATAAGAAGAAAATTGTCAAAGTGGGAAGTCTGAATGTGCGTGGATGTTGTGCAGATGATAAGAAAGAGATGATTGTGGATGTTATGAATGAGAAGAAGCTGGATGTCCTGGCTTTAAGTGAAACAAAGCTGAAGGGGTGGGAGAGTTTCAGTGGAGAGGAATAAATGGGATTAGGTCAGGGGTTTCAAATAGAGTTAGAGCTAAAGAAGGAGTAGCAATAATGTTGAAGGATAAGCTATGGCAGGAAAAGAGGGACTATAAATGTATAAATTCAAGGATTATGTGGAGTAAAATAAAGATTGGATGTGAAAAGTGGGTTATAATAAGCGTGTATGCACCTGGAGAAGAGAGAAGTGTAGAGGAGAGAGAGAGATTTTGGAAATGTTGAGTGAATGCATGGGGAGTTTTGAATCAAGTGTGAGAGTAATGGTGGTTGGTTATTTAAATGCTAAAGTGGGTAAAAATGTTATGGAAGGAGTAGTAGGTAAATTTGGGGTGCCAGGGGTAAATGTAAATGGGGAGCCTTTAATTGAGCTATGTGAGAAAGAAATTTGGTAATAAGTAATACATATTTTATGAAAAAGAGGATAAATAAATATACAAGGTATGATGTAGCACGTAATGAAAGTAGTTTATTAGATTATGTATTGGTGGATAAAAGGTTGATGGGTAGGCTCCAGGATGTACATGTTTATAGAGGGGCAACTGATATATCGGATCATTATTTAGTTGTAGCTACAGTTAGAGTAAGAGGTAGATGGGAAAAGAGGAAGGTGGCAACAACAAGTAAGAGGGAGGTGAAAGTGTATAAACTAAGGGAGGAGGAAGTTCGGGTGAGATATAAGCGACTATTGGCAGAAAGGTGGGCTAGTGCAAAGATAGTAGTGGGGGGGTTGAAGAGGGTTGGAATAGTTTTAAAAATGCAGTATTAGAATGTGGGGCAGAAGTTTGTGGTTATAGGAGGGTGGGGGCAGGAGGAAAGAGGAGTGATTGGTGGAATGATGAAGTAAAGGGTGTGATAAAAGAGAAAAAGGTAGCTTATGAGAGGTTTTTACAAAGCAGAAGTGTTATAAGAAGAGCAGAGTATATGGAGAGTAAAAGAAAGGTAAAGAGAGTGGTGAGAGAGTGCAAAAGGAGAGCAGATGATAGAGTGGGAGAGGCACTGTCAAGAAATTTTAATGAAAATAAGAAAAAATTTTGGAGTTAAACAAGTTAAGAAAGCCTAGGGAAAATATGGATTTGTCAGTTAAAAACAGAGTAGGGGAGTTAGTAGATGGGGAGATGGAGGTATTATCTGGAGAGACTTTCGGGGGTCAACGCCCCCGCGGCCCGGTCTGTGACCAGGCCTCCTTAGGTCAGTGTCCCAGGATGCAACCCACACCAGTCGACTAACACCCAGGTACCCATTTTACTGATGGGGAACATAGACAACAGGTGGAAAGAAACACGTCCAATGTTTCTACTCTGGCTGGGAATCGAACCCAGGCCCTCGCCGTGTGAAGCGAGAGCTTTAACCACCAGGCCACCAGAGCCACCAGGGTAGATGGCGAGAATATTTTGAGGAACTTTTAAATGTTAAGGAAGAAACAGAGGCAGTAATTTCATGCACTGGTCAGGGAGGTATACCATCTTTTAGGAGTGAAGAAGAGCAGAATGTAAGTGTGGGGGAGGTACGTGAGGCATTACGTAAAATGAAAGGGGGTAAAGCAGCTGGAACTGATGGGATCATGACAGAAATGTTAAAAGCAGGGGGGGGATATAGTGTTGGAGTGGTTGGTACTTTTGTTTAATAAATGTATGAAAGAGGGGAAGGTACCTAGGGATTGGCAGAGAGCATGTATAGTCCCTTTATATAAAGGGAAAGGGGACAGAAGAGACTGTAAAAATTATAGAGGAATAAGCTTACTGAGTATACCAGGAAAAGTGTACGGTAGGGTTTTTAACTGAAAGAATTAGAGGTAAGACAGAATGTAGGATTGCGGATGAGCAAGGAGGTTTTAGAGTGGGTAGGGGATGTGTAGATCAGGTGTTTACATTGAAGTATATATGTGAACAGTAAATTTAGATAAAGATAGGGAAGTTTTTATTGCATTTATGGATTTAGAAAAGGCATATGATAGAGTGGATAGAGGAGCAATGTGGGCAGATGTTGCAAGTATATGGAATAGGTGGTAAGTTATTAAATGCTGTTAAGAGTTTTTATGAGGATAGTGAGGCTCAGGTTAGGGTGTGTAGAAGAGAGGGAGACTACTTCCCGGTAAAAGTAGGTCTTAGACAGGGATGTGTAATGTCACCATGGTTGTTTAATATATTTAAGATGGGGTTGTTAAGGAAGTAAATGCTAGGGTGTTTTGGGAGAGGGGTGGGATTAAATTATGGGGAATCAAATTCAAAATGGGAATTGACACAGTTACTTTTTGCTGATGATACTGTGCTTATGGGAGATTCTAAAGAAAAATTGCAAAGGTTAGTGGATGAGTTTTGGGAATGTGTGTAAAGGTAGAAAGTTGAAAGTGAACATAGAAAAGAGTAAGGTGATGAGGGTGTCAAATGATTTAGATAAAGAAAAATTGGATATCAAATTGGGGAGGAGGAGTATGGAAGAAGTGAATGTTTTCAGATACTTGGGAGTTGACGTGTCGGCGGATGGATTTATGAAGGATGAGGTTAATCATAGAATTGATGAGGGAAAAAGGCGAGTGGTGCATTGAGGTATATGTGGAGTCAAAAAACGTTATCTATGGAGGCAAAGAAGGGAATGTATGAAAGTATAGTAGTACCAACACTCTTATATGGGTGTGAAGCTTGGGTGGTAAATGCAGCAGCGAGGAGACGGTTGGAGGCAGTGGAGATGTCCTGTTTAAGGGCAATGTGTGGTGTAAATATTATGCAGAAAATTCGGAGTGTGGAAATTAGGAAAAGGTGTGGAGTTAATAAAAGTATTAGTCAGAGGGCAGAAGAGGGATTGTTGAGGTGGTTTGGTCATTTAGAGAGAATGGATCAAAGTAGAATGACATGGAAAGCATATAAATCTATAGGGGAAGGAAGGCGGGGTAGGGGTCGTCCTCGAAAGAGTTGGAGAGAGGGGGTAAAGGAGGTTTTGTGGGCAAGGGGCTTGGACTTCCAGCAAGCGTGCGTGAGTGTGTTAGATAGGAGTGAATGGAGACGAACGGTACTTGGGACCTGACGATCTGTTGGAGTGTGAGCAGGGTAATATTTAGTGAAGGGATTCAGAGAAACCGGTTATTTTCATATAGTCGGGCTTGAGTCCTGGAAATGGGAAGTACAATGCCTGCACTTTAAAGGAGGGGTTTGGGATATTGGCAGTTTGGAGGGATATGTTGTATATCTTTATATGTGTATGCTTCTAAACTGTTGTATTCTGAGCACCTCTGCAAAAACAGTGATAATGTGCGAGTGTGGTGAAAGTGTTGAATGATGATGAAAGTATTTTCTTTTTGGGGATTTTCTTTCTTTTTTGGGTCACCCTGCCTCGGTGGGAGACGGCCGACTTGTTGAAAAAAAAAAAAAAAATATATATATATACATATAAATATACATATATATATACATACATACACACACACACACACACACACACACACACACACACACACACACACACACACACACACACACACACACACACACACACACACACACACACACACACACACACCCCTCTGGGTTTTCTTCTATTTTCTTACTAGCTCTTGCTCTTGTTTATTTCCTCTTAGCTCCATGGGGAAGTGGAACAGAATTCTTCCTCTGTAAGCCACGCGTGTCATAAGAGGCAACTAAAATGCCAGGAGCAAGGGGCTAATAACTCCTTCTCCTGTATACCTTACTTAATATAAAAAGAGAAACTTTTGTTTTTGTTTTCAGGTCATCCGGTCTGTTATAGAGAAAGAGAAAAAAAAAATTGCCCTTAAGACACATCTTCACTGCCTCCAGCCTCCTTCTCACTGGAACACTCATACATATATAAGAGTGTTGGTACCACTATAGTCTCATACATTTCCTTCTTCGTCAAAATATTTTAAAAAAATTTATACATAAATTTAAATCTATGATAAAAATAAAGTCATTTAAAATTACTGCTGCTTCTGTCAGGTACATCTAACCTCATCTCTTTTACTCTCCCAACTGTTTCAACTTTGTTTCACACAATACTAGGAAATCCATAACATTAAAAATGTTCTTTTTTTAACATTTACACACATTACAAACAAATATACTGTATATGGATTTAATACAATATGACGATCTGAAACCAAACTGTTCATTAATTACTTGTTGTTCTATACATGCTTAATCTTTCTACTCTAATTAGTTTTTCCCTTGAGATTTTACAACACCTGTCCATAGACAGGCCTATAATTTCAAAGGCCTTACCCATCACTTTTTTTAATGCTGTAGTAGCTCTACATTTGCTTATTTTCCTATGTCCACTAGTTTACCTTCTTGTCATGAAATTCTAAATATTTTCCAAATGAACATTTTAGTACAGAAGAATTAAATTATACCATTTGGATGCTTACTTCCTTATGACACTTACTGATAGGTATTAGCAAACTTGTAACTTTCAGTATTACCCAGCCTACTACTAAAGCAGGTAACCTCCATCTAATATTTAGCAAGACAGTAATAGCGTGCTTAGTAATGATTAAACAAACAACTGTTCTCTTTATTATGAGGAGGCAGTGTTAATTTTTATTCAAAGAAATGTAATAAAATCAGCAAACATAGCACCAATATAAAGAAAAACATTATTTCTGTCTTACCTGAAAGAGTGTGGCAGCCCCAATGACACTGCCTGAAAAGCCAGCAACCAACCCCACCTGAAAGTGTGGGTTAAATTCCACAGCCTTAATTATGGCACCTTCAGAGCGAGATGAGCTGTTCAAGTGAGGTAGCTTCTTGTACTCGAGCCAGATCTTCGGCAGGTTGACAGAAGACGCTCCAGATAAGTAATTACCTGTACTCTAAAGAATAACAACAATAATTTATTATGTCCAATACAGTAAATATCTGATAAAACTGACCTCCAAATCTGGCTGGATAAATACTCACCATGAATGTTTAATAGAATGTCTGATTAAAACAGCTATGAAGTAGACCAAATCCACAAAAATGAATGGATATGCAATTCATTCATGCATTCGATAGAATGGAAGCATACAAAAATGACCCAAAATACAAGGACTGAAGCAGCACTGCATAAATGAAATGCTCAACAGCACACCGCTGGTGTTAATGTTTGTTCTGCTGAGTATCAGCGTGCCAAATAAATTAAGCTGGATTTATTCTTTAAACCTGTTCCTCATTCTACATCTCCCATATTATCTACCAGTAAGCCTGAGCCATCTACATCTCCCAAACTATCTACCAGTAAGCCTGAGCCATCTACATCTGCTGAACCATCTACATCTCCCACATTACCTACATCTCCCTCATTATCTACCTGTCTCCCACACCATCTATGTATCTCCCACACCATCTACTTATCAGTCTCCCACACCATCTGCAGTGCTACTGCTGGAGCTTTATAGCTCCACTAATCAGAATAAGTTATTCTGGATCACCATTAGACCATGTGAAATTACTGTACTGTATTGATCGTCTCTAAGCTCATCTATCCACCAGAATGAGAAAAATTACTGAACTGTACTCTACTATATTGTACAGTGCTATACTTTTAACTCATTTTTCTTTTCAGGTACAGTTATGGGTAACACTGTATTGTACTCTAGTTTATTTTAGCATGTCCAGTAGTCCTAAGGAAGCTATATTTTGGGGATTTATCCATGTCTGGTAGTTGATTGATTAAGCAGATTACACCTGCTTAACTGAAATGTTTGACATGACAGATTTTTCAGTAAATCGGAAACCCCCTCTCCCCTATTAATCAGTTTTATCAGACATTAACTGCACTGTGCTGGTGGTAAAAACAAGCAGACGAGAAAACCAAGGTACACTATATGTACATTATACCTGACCTTTATTATATGCAACAACTGTTTGGTCGATTACATTACAAATGAAAAACATCTATCATGCACAGTATTAAAATACATACTAAGCAGCTCTAAATACGTATATTTTTTTTTACTCTTCTTAAGTTAATTTATGAGGTATTCAAACAAATGAAATGATTTGATTTCAAAAATAGAATGAAATAAAAATAAGAGATTTGAGTATGTTACAAAAAACTTTAATAACAATTTAACCTTCATTACTAAATACAGTGGACCCCTGGTTTTCATCCGGTCCGGACATCGCACAATTCGGATTTCAATCACTTTTTTCGGCAAATTTTTACCCTGGGTTTCATACATCCACACGGAAATTGTCCATATCAGACGCGTCTGCCCACTTGGGGTGCGGCTGTTCACACATATGTCACTGATTCATGAGCAATACCCCGTGCATTCATCCGAAACATTTCACAATAATTCTTTGTTTTTTGTGCTTGTTTATTGAGTGCGACTGAGAAATAAGCCACCATGGGGGCCAAAGAAAGTTCAGTGGCAGCCCTTTGATAAAGAAGGCGAGAAACACGATAGAATTCCATGGTGGTATAAGGTGGTAGAGTTGATGGAAGAGGGTGGTAGTGATGGTGGTAGAGGGTGGTAGTGATGGTGGTAGAGGGTGGTAGTGATGGTCATAGAGGGTGGTAGAGAGTGGTTGTGATGGTGGTAGAGGGTGGCAGTGATTGTGGTAGAGGGTAGTAGTGATGGTGGTAGAGAAACCTCTCCTCCCTCTCCCCTCCTCGCCTTCTTCCATAAGCCAACAAGATTCGTCAATAAAGGTATGTAATAGTGATTTAAATGTTCATTTATCCATTAAAATTAGTCATTTATATTTATTTCTCATTGTTTTCTGTATGTAAAACTATAGTTATTCTCTATAAAATATATTTTTTGTTAATATTTTTGGGTGTCTGGAATGGATTACTTGGATTTACAATATTTTTTATGGGAAATATTACTTCAGTTTTTGTCCATTTCGGATTTCAACTGACCTTCTGGAACGGATTAAGGATGAAAACTGGGGGTCCACTGTAGCCAGAACACTAAAGCACACTAAACATACACGAGCCATTTCATCTTCATCATCAGAGTCGCCTTTTTTCTTTTGGCCAAGTTCAGCCCACTCAGGTGTACTGCCAATAACTTGACTAAACTTCTCTTTTAGTTTCATTTCATACAACACATCTGAATTCTCTCTGATCCCTCTCTTGCCTCGAGCTTTTGTCATACTGGCCACAACATCCTTAACTCTGTAGGAATATATCATGCACACATTATCAGATTATATTTTCTTACTGGGAAAATACATTTAAAAATTCCCCCCCAAAATAATTAAATGCTAAAAGTCAATGCATTGTCAAATATTACATAAACTATATTGTAAGAAAAAATTCCCTACTACTGTAATAATACCTCATTCCAACATTTCTTTAAAGAAAATAAAACTTAATAAATATTACTTCATTCAGTCTTATTTTAAAAAATGTAAAACCAGTATTTTTACATGACAATGGAGTGTGAGCAGGGTAATATTTAGTGAAGAGATTCAGGGAAACCGGTTATTTTATATAACCGGACTCGAGTCCTGGAAATGGGAAGTACAATGCCTGCACTCTAAAGGAGGGATTTGGGATATTGGCAGTTTGGAGGGATATGTTGTGTATTTTTATACGTATATACTTCTAAACTGTTGTATTCTGGGCACCTCTGCAAAAACAGTGATTATGTGTGAGTGAGGTGAAAGTGTTGAATGATGATGAAAGTATTTTCTTTTTAGGGATTTTCTTTCTCTTTGGGTCACCCTGCCTCAATGGGAGACGGCCGACTTGTTTTGAAAAAAAAAAAAAAAAAAAAATGAAAGAATCGCTGCAGCATGCTAACTGGTTCAGAGGTGTTCTTCACCAAACACCTCAATGAATTATTGAAGATTTTATATGGATAATTAACCAGGAAATCCCTTCTTCTGTATACATTATTAAATTTAAAAAGAAACTTTCGTTTTTCCTTTTCTGTTGCCCTGCCTCGGTGGGATGTGGCAGGTTTGTTGAAAAAAAAAATTAACCAGTAGGATTAGTAAACTATATTAATCTAATGAACTCAGTATGCCTATGCTTCTTACTGAAGGTACAGCAGTCATCACACACTGACCCCATCACCCTCAACCTGATTAAAAAGGTTACAGTTATATTTCATAATAAATGTAATAATAATACACTAGGTAATAGGTTAGTAGACAGCAACTGCCCAGGGAGGTACTACCGTCCTGCCAAGCGAGTGTAAAACGAAAGCCTGTAATTGTTTTACATAATGGTAGGATTGCTGGTATCCTTTTTTTCTGTCTCATAAACATGCAAGATTTCAGTTACGTCTTGCTACCTCTGCTTACACTTAGGTCACACTACACATACATGTACAAGCATATACAGTGGACCCCCACATAACGATATTAATCCGTTCCTGAGAGCTCATTGTTATGCAAAATTATCGTTATGCGAATGAATTTTCCCCATAAGAAATAATGGAAATCAAATTAATCCGTGCAAGACACCCAAAAGTATGAAAAAAAAAATTTTACCACATGAAATATACATTTTCCTACACACAAAGAGAAAGGATACATGCACAATAGTAGAGTAGTACATGCACAATATATATTGTGCATGTACTACTCTACTAAATGAAGAATAAATGACACTTACCTTTATTGAAGATGCAGCAATGACTGATGAGACACTGTGTCCTGGGAGTGCCTTTTCCTCCTGAGTACTGTAGGTCCTGTTTGGCATTTTCTTCCAGAACAGGCCTTATCACACTGTGTATGCCACTACGATTCTTAAATCTCTCAAACCAACCTTTGCTGGCTTTAAATTCACCAATATGAGCACTAATTCCAGGCATTTTTCCCTGTTCACCTGGGTGTTAGTCGACTGGTGTGGGTTGCATCCTGGGAGACAAGATTAAGGACCCCAATGGAAATAAGTTAGACAGTCTTCGATGACACTGACTTTTTTGGGTTATCCTGGGTGGCTAACCCTCTGGGGTTAATTGTTTCTTGGTATTCTCAATAAACCACACCAACAACGGTGCTACAGCAGCAGCAGCAGCAGCTGATAGTGCTACAGCAGCAGCTGACAGTGCTACAGCAGCAGCTGACAGTGCTACAGCAGCAGCAGACAGTGCTACAGCAGCAGCAGACGGTACTACAGCAGCAGCAGCTGATGGTGGTACAGCAGCAGCAGCAGCTGATGGTGCTACAGCAGCAGCAGCAAATGACAGTGCTACAGCAGCAGCAGCAGCAGCAGCTGACAGTGCAGCAGCAGCAGCTGACAGTGCTACAGCAGCAGCTGATGGTGGTACAGCAGCAGCAGCAGCTGACGGTGCTACAGCAGCAGCAGCAGCTGACAGTGCTACAGCAGCAGCAGCATCAGCAGTTGACCATGGTACCACAGTATTTCGATAATATTTCTCATCCATTTTACCACAGGGTTGGCACTAGAAGCTTTCTTGGGGCCCATGGTCACTTATTTTGCAGATAAAATCACCAAAAACACTGTAATAATACGAAATGTTCCGATTGTATGCTTGGATGTTACCACGGAGGCTGGCTGGTAAACAATGCCACCGTCGAAACATGTGAGGCTGGCTCAGGCCGCACATTAGACGCGTCTCGGACGAATAGCGTTGAGTGGGTTTTTTAGCGGTATGCGAGGCAAAATCTTAGCGATAAAATGTATCGGTATGCGGATTTAACGTTATGTGATGCCAACGGTATGCGGAGGTCCACTGTATATACACACCCCTCTGAGCTTTTTTCTATTTTCTTTCTAGTTCTTGTTCTTGTTTATTTCCTCTTATCTCCATGGGGAAGTGGAACAAAATTCTTCCTCCGTAAGCCATGCGTGTTGTAAGAGGTGACTAAAATGCCGGGAGCAAGGGGCTAGTAACCCTTTCTCCTGTATATATTACTAAATTTAAAAGGAGAAACTTTTGTTTTTTCTTTTGGGCCACCCCGCCTCGGTGGGATACGGCTGGTGCATTGAAAGAAGAAAGAAGAATAATAATACTAGGTAATAGGTTAGTAGACAGCATCTGCCCAGGGAGGTACTACCGTTCTTCTAAGTGAGTGTGAAACGGAAGCAATCCTACCGTCATGTAATTGTTTTATATGATGGTAGGATTGCCAGTGTCTTTTTATTTTTTTTTTTTGTCTCATAAACATGCAAGATTTCAAGTACATCTTGCTACTTCTACTTACACTTAGGTCACACTATACTTGCACGTACAAGCATTTATATACATACACCCCTCTGGGTTTTCTTCTATTGTTTTACAAGTTCTTGTTCTTATTTCTTATCTGAATGGGGAAGTGGAACAAATTCTTCCTTCATGAGCCATGTGTATTGTAGGAGGTGACTAACATGCTAGAAGCAAGGGGCCAGTAACCCCTTCTCCTGTATACAGACTAAAGTTAAAGAGAGAAACTTTCGTTTTTCTTTTTAGGTGGGATGTGGTTGATTTGTTGAAAAAAAAAATGATAATCTGTAATAAAGTAAGAATATTCATTACTCTTAAACCTCCTGAAACACACAAGCAGAACACCAATACTAAAGGCTAAACTTGTACACATATACAGTAACATTCAAACCATACCACCGGCGGGATTGAACCCGCGGTCAGAGTCTCAAAACTCCAGACCGTTGCGTTAGCCACTAGACCAGCTAGCCACAATAAGATTCGTCCAACTAGGTATATTTCTACACCATAGGAAGGTTAGCATAGGCACCACTGTGACCACAAATGCAAGTTTTTACAGACGAATCTCCAGCTAGCGTGGCCGTGACGAACTCTAGCTCAAGTCCCCTCACTGCCGTCAACATGACTCACGAAATCGTAATGACACGATTGCAAACAAACCATACCATCGGCGGGATTGAACCCGCGGTCAGAGTCTCAAAACTCCAGACCGTCGCGTTAGCCACTAGACCAGCTAGCCACAATAAGATTCGTCCAACTAGCATTTGTGGTCACAGTGGTGCCTATGCTAACCTTCCTATGGTGTAGAAATATACCTAGTTGGACAAATCTTATTGTGGCTAGTTGGTCTAGTGGCTAACGCGACGGTCTGGAGTTTTGAGACTCTCTGACCGTGGGTTCAATCCCGCCGGTGGTATGGTTTGTTTGCAATCATGTCATCACGATTTCGTGAATCAGTAACATTCACAATGTCAAACAGACTTGGCCCTAACAAAGCCAAATAGAAAATTATAAACAGACAGTGAAACACACAAAAAAATACAGGTACTGACACACATACAACATTACCTGATTGTTTCATCATCATCATCCACCCAAGCTGGCTTCCTATTTTTCTTTACTGGTTCATGAACATCAAAGGGATCATCAGGAATCATTTCTGAAGTATCTCTCTTAGTGCCAGTGGCTGCACAAACATCTTGACTGGATACTTCTTGTGAAAGACTCCCTGGTAATGCTGCATCCTCTCCAAATAAATCAGTGGCCAAACTTCTGGTAATTAAGGAAAAAGATGTCATTATATTATCAGGTCATGAACCAATTAAGGGTTTTCTGTACCCAAAATAGTATATTTAGCAACCAAATATATGTTGAGCAACGCAATTGCTCAACAAACAAAGAGAGATAGTAGAAGGCAACGAGTGACTAGCTCCCTTAAGGTTTACTATACAAATAGTAGGAGTCTAAGAAATAAGATAGATGAGCTAAGATTACTGGCAAGTGCAGGTAATATAGATATTATTGATATAACAGAGACCTGGTTCAACTTGAAAGATAGAGAAATGCCTTCTGAATGCTACATACAGGGTTATAAACTATTCCACACCGACAGGGTCAACAGGAAGAGTGGTGGAGTGGCGATGTATGTCAGAGATAATTTAAATTGTTGTGTTAGACGTAGTCAGAGATAATTTAAATTGTTGTGTTAGACCAGATGTAAGATTAAAAACATCAGACACAGAATCTGTTTGGCTACAGTTTCTCAAAAGTTGTGAAAAATTAATTTTGGGTGTGATTTATATATTATCCCTCACAAAGTTAAACAGACTTATCCTTTATAAAATCAAACAGATTTGGCCTTTACAAAGTCAAACAGACAATTACAAACAGGCAGTGACACACACAAGAAAATACAAGTAATGATACTTATACATTACCTAATCCTTTCCTCATCATCCACCCAAGCTGGCTTTTTCCTATTTTTCATTACTGGTTCATGAATATCAAAGGGATCATCAGGAATCATTTCTAAAGTTTTTCTCTTAGTGCCAGTGGCTGCAGAAACATCTTGACTGGATACTTCTTGTGAAAGACTCCCTGGTAATTCTGCATCCTCTCCAAATAAATCAGTGGCCAAACTTCTGGTAATTAAAGAGAAAGATATCATTATGTAATCAGTTCACAAACACAATTAAGGGCTTTCTGCCCCCCAAAATAGTGTATTGATCAACCAAATACAGTCATCCCTATAAATTTGCCGGATTCCATTATCACGGATTTTGATTATCAACATTTTTACTGTATATATGTTGGTAGAATTACCGACAATATGTGAAGTAAAAGGACACAAGTGCAACTAATGTGACATTTTATCATGGCAACGTTTTGCTCTCCAGGAGCTTTGTCAAGCCGTAACGGCTTAACAATGGGTAAGGCTCCCATACACACACACCACACACCTCCATTTGTTTAATGTGTTTTTAATAGGTATGATTCAATTATTGGGACACTGTAAACCATGACAAATTATTCCTAGTTATATTATCTTATCCAAGAAACAGGGTAAGTCTTTTATTTTTTGCGTTATGAATTCAAATTGGCAGATAAGTGTAATAAAGAAGAGGCTTGGAGGTATGATTACTGTACAGAGGAAATGTTGTTTCAGTGCCTGCAATGTCTACAGTGTTTATTTTGAGCTCTGTTTTTAACCCGTAAACGGTCCAAACATATATATACGTTCACTACCGTACTGCCCCAACTTTAAGAAAAAAAAAAATGGTTGTTTTTAATAGGAAAAAAGAGCATATGGTACCCAGGCATCCCCAATTATTTTAATATGGTGCACAGTGAGTGCTCACACCCATTCTCACACGTCTAGGCGACTCAGGCTTATCATGGCAATGTTAAATGTAGGACACATAAAACGTATATATACGTTTGGGGCACTAGCGGTAAAAACGTATATATACGTTTGGACCGTTTATGGGTTAAACTGGATTTTTTTGAAATTTTGCATAAAATTAAACAGATTACCAAATTCTGTGTACTTTTGATAATTGAATGGGTGGTTCCTCTACCTCAGTTGATAGAACAGAAAGCATACAGGCAAAATTGATAAGAATTTGGCCAAACTGAACAATGGAATTGGTTTAAAATAGGACTCAAATTCAGCGAAACTGCCGATCCATAAAATGCACAAAGACTGCTAACTTTGCACCTGCACAATTCCATAAGGATGGATAATGAGAACCTTCAAAACTAGGGAAGCCAAGCCCATGATGACACTCTTCAGGTCACTTGTTCTATCTAGGCTGGAATATTGCTGCACACTAACAGCACCTTTCAAGGCAGGTGAAATTGCCGACCTAGAAAATGTACAGAGAACTTTCACGGCGCGCATAACGGAGATAAAACACCTCAATTATTGGGAGCGCTTGAGGTTCCTAAACCTGTATTCCCTGGAACGCAGGAGGGAGAGATACATGATTATATACACCTGGAAAATCCTAGAGGGACTAGTACCGAACTTGCACACGAAAATCACCCACTACGAAAGCAAAAGACTTGGCAGACGATGCACCATCCCCCCAATGAAAAGCAGGGGTGTCACTAGCACGTTAAGAGACCATACAATAAGTGTCAGGGGCCCGAGACTGTTCAACTGCCTCCCAGCACACATAAGGGGGATTACCAACAGACCCCTGGCAGTCTTCAAGCTGGCACTGGACAAGCACCTAAAGTCAGTTCCGGATCAGCCGGGCTGTGGCTCGTATGTTGGTTTGCGTGCAGCCAGCAGCAACAGCCTGGCTGATCAGGCTCTGATCCACCAGGAGGCCTGGTCTCAGACCGGGCCGCGGGGGCGTTGACCCCCGGAACTCTCTCCAGGTAAACTCCAGGTAAGTTTTCCATCAAATTTCATATTTTTGCTATCATTACTTTCAGGAAAAGATTCTCTACAATTTTGGAAGAAAAAAAAATTTTTTTTTTCTTTTGAAAAATGTGATCACTGCAAACACTTATAATTCTGGGGATCTGGACAAAGAAAGAGTTAATTCTCTCAACATCTCACACAACACATTCAAAATACAAAGTTTAAACATTGCAGTAATAAAATTATTTGTACTGCTTATTCTTTCAACTGACATTCATAATAAAATTAAATTTTTGTTATGTAGATGAATGGTTCAGAGAACCGAGAAGTTGATAAATTAGACACATGTGCAACACTTGGGTATCTCTATTGAAGAAACGTTTCACCACACAGTGGCTTCATCAGTCCATACAAAGGAGAGCATTGAAGAACAGGAGAAGTTTGAGGTAATCAGTCCCTCAGCCTTGAGTTGATGTGGTCAGTCCATCAATCTTGAAAAGTATACAGCATATGTGCGAAGAAATAGCTTATATACCGTAGGCAGGAGAGGTGCAGCAGTCATAAGTGGTATCACGTTTGTCCAATGTGGAAGTAGGTCATGCCCAAGGGTTAGGCAAGTGAAGAATTCCCTGTATTAAGATCCCAAGATGGACTGATGAAGCCACTGTGTGGTGAAACATTTCCTCAATAAATATACCCAAGTGTTGCACATGTGTCTAATTTATCAATTTTTTTTATAAATACTGCATTCATTACTTACCTTTCTCTTTCTTCTAGGCTGTCATAACCTAAAGCATGTCTTTTATTTGTTACTGATATATTTTTCTGTGACTGTTTTCCAGACATGGACACTACACTGCTGCTCCTTGTGTCAATGGTGAATCCCTTTCTTTTGGAGACCTTTTTCATTTTTTTCTGTTGTACATTGTTTTGTTTTCTTTTAGTTCCTTTTTTGCTTCGTATTAATGAATTTCTTTTTGAGTTCATTTTCTTTTGGATGTTAGTTACTTGATTTTCTTCATCAGCATTACAATACCATAACCTTAAAAAAATACACATGTAGTGTTAAATTTATAAAAAAAATATATTTCAATCAACAATTACCATAACTGATAACTTATATTCAAGTCTGAAAACTAAAGCATTATGCAACATTTATCCTAGTACATTATTATTATTATTATTATTATTCTTAGTCCTTCAATTACTATCCCTTTAAAGAGCATATCTAAACTTGTGTTAATCAAAATGTTACAGACTAATTTTGTTAAAAAAATCATACTTCACAATGTGCTACTGGATAAGCTGATACAGTGGCACCTCGGTTTTCGTCATTAATTCGTTCCAGAAAATCTGACGAAACCCGAATTCGACGAAAACTGAAGCATATTTCCCATGAGAAATAATGTAAATCCAATTAATCTGCTCCAGACACCCAAAAGTATTAACAAAAAATACATTATATAGAGAATACAGTGGACCCCCGGTTAACGATATTTTTTCATTCCAGAAGTATGTTTAGGTGCCAGTACTGACCGAATTTGTTCCCATAAGGAATATTGTGAAGTAGATTAGTCCATTTCAGACCCCCAAACATACATGTACAAACGCACTTACATAAATACACTTACATAATTGGTCGCATTGGGAGGTGATCGTTAAGCGGGGTTCCACTGTAACTATAGTTTTACATACAGAAAACAATGAGAAATAAATATGAAGGACTAATGAAATGGATAAATGAACATTTAACATCACTTTTACCTTTACTGAAGACTCTTGTTGACGTATGGAAGACAGAGAGGAGGGAAGAGGGAGGAGAGGTTATCTCTACCACCATCACTACTACCCTCTACCACAATCACTACCACCCTCTACCATCACAACCACTACCACCCTCTACCACAATCATTACTGCCCTCTACCACCATCACTACCACCTCTACCACAATCATTACCACTCTCTACCACCATCACAACCATTACCACCCTCTACCACCCTCTACCACCATCACTATCACCCTCTACCACAGTCACTGCCACTCTCTACTACTATCACAACTACTACCACCATCACTACCACCATCATTACCACCTTCTACCACAATCTCTACCACCATCACAACCACTACCACCCTCTGCTACCATCACTACCACCTTCTACCACATTCACTACCACCACCTTCTACCACAATCACTACTACCCCCCTAACACAATCACTACCACCATCACAACCACTACCACCCTCTACCACCATCACTACCACTACCACCCTCTACCACCAACACTACCACCCTCTATCATCATCATTACCACCCTCTACGACCAACACTACCACCCTCTACCATGATCACTACCACCCTCTACCACCATCACTATCACCCTCTACCACCATCACTATCACCCTCTACCACCATCACTATCACCCTCTACTACTATCACAACCACTACCACCCTCTACCACCATCACTACCACCTTCAACCACAATCTCTACCACTATCACTACCACCTTCTGTCAGCATAGTTGCTGATCCCTGTGTTGTATAGCATATCAGTATCATCCATGTGCTTTAGATAGAAGACCCCTTAGGCCGAGTGACTGTGTGACGTCACGGGATGCGCATGTGTACGTTCATACCTCTGCCCCGGTCTCAGTCGGCGTTAGACATAGGCTAGGACAGGCAGAGGCTGGGCTCCATTTCCCATCATCACAGTCTGACAATATATCGTTACCATCCAACCAGTGTGTCTACCTTCAACCCTCAATATCTCCATTTAAGAACCCCTACGATAAATGGTGACAGCGGTGTGGGCGTAAAATTGATAATTACGCCGATGTATGGAGATTTCTTTCAACCAGCAAGACGGCCAGTTCGTGTCGCCAGTAGGCCGACCTAGCCAAGCCTGCTACCTCAAGTCAGCTACTCTCTCAAATTCCTACCAGCTTCTACATTATTCAATGGTCAGTCTCTTTGTATTAGTGTTTATCTGCTTATTTGCATCACTCCCGAGGGGTTGACCCGAGTTTGCAAAATAAGCCAGCTTCCAGTCTGTGGTGAGGGAGTCCAGTCTAGCCTAGCTTACTCCATCCAGTTCTTTTGTCTGCCAAGCCAGCTTCCACCCCTGCTGTGCTCATCGTGAGCCACCCCTGCTGTGCTCATCGTGAGAAGTATCAAGCTATTCTGTGTGAAGGGTTAAGATAAGCCAGCTAGCAACTAACCCAGGTGTCTTACCCCAGTACTCAAGCAAGCCACATGAGTAGTCTTCATCGCTTGTGATTCAAGCTCCAAGCAATTCTGAGTGCTCTCTTTCATCCCAGTGGTGTTGTGGTATTTCGTGGGTGTATTTTATGCTAGCCAGCTTAGAATATCTTCACAGCAGTGTGGTTGTCCCCAGTGAGGCTTATGCCGTTCAACCCATAGGCCCAACCACCCACTCACCACGTGTGTCTCACCATTGCCTGGTCTCAGCCCTGTTAACCCACTAACCCAACCACTCTCACTGTGTTTTGGTACTCACCCAACCTCTACCAGTGTTTGGTACACTACTAGGGGTTATAGCACCATATTTTAAGGACCACATAGGGGGTCAAGAGCTAGAGTGTCTTTCGCACCATCGTTAAAAGCCTCCTGTGTGAAGTCTATCGTCGATGTAAGCGCAATTCTACGATCACGTGTGCAGAGGACAGCAGCAAGACGACATAAACAATCCTCCAACCTTCCACCATCTACCTCATTCTTCACCAAGTCGTTACAGCGATAATATTTTTCATAGAGACATTTGCGAGTGTTGAGACATTTCTTTTTGTGTTTCCAGTGATTTTTCTCTTAGTGACATTCAGTGACTCTTGATTAGACTCAGTGTTTATCATATACTGATTGCAATAATTTGATAATCTCCTTAATTCAGTGTTAATTTTCGTGCATTATCTTATGTCTGTTGTGTTGTGTTTCTTTTTATACACCTGAAGTAAGTACCTAGTGTTTTTCCTTTGTTGTGTGTGCAACATATGAACAGTATAGAACTTGTGTTTACACTTCAGAATCACCTAGTGTTCTCAGTGATTCAGTGGAGTAATTCAGTAATTTATTTAATTGTGTCCTGCATCACAACTCAGTATTGTCTGTTGCATTTTCATCCCTAGCATTTGTGTATTTTTTTGTTCCCTGTGTGTTGAACATTCTTGTGTTCATATTCTTTTCATTTAGCCAGTGTCTAATTTGTTTTATTTCCACAGACAATAGTGCCATTATTTTGTGCAAGCAAGAAATCATTACCTTATCAAAGTTTTCACACATCAAGTTTCATTGCAAGAAAATTATAGTATTGTGTTTATGTTGATGTGTTGTGTTCTGCACCACTGTAAGAATTCAAACTTTTTTGTTCTGTATTTTAGCACCTATTATTTTTCATGTTTCATTGAACAAATTCACTCTTAGTGCAATTTTTAAGTTCTTCTTTTAGAGTAAATTGTTCTTTTGCTTGTTAAGTGTTGCTTGAGTGCAGTTAAGAGTTAAAGTGTTCATTCCTTGATATATTTCTTTTCTTGTGTGTGTAATAATTTTTATTATTGCACATTTACTCATTTTGCAATAATTCTTGTGCAAATATTGTGTTGTCTTTAAAAATTTTCTTGCAGAGATTTTATGCATTGTGCAATACTTTTTAACTAGCAATTATTTGCAATATTGCTACAGTTATTTCAGTGCAGTTTCATATGCTCTGTTCTGTGCATAATATTTTATTCCTTGTGTGCCATTTTATTTTATTTCAGTGAATTGTGTCCCAGTTTTTCATTTTTGCACAAGCTTTATTGAGTCCATTTTATCATTTTATTGTGTATTTCCCTGTTGCATTGAAAGTAAAAGACAACTCACTGTGCCATTCATTCAATTTAAAGTAAAATTGAGCAAATTAGATTTGAGTAAAGCACAAGTTCTCTTGATTTTCAAAGTGTTGTCTGTTCAGATAAGCATTTTCTCTGTGACTGTGAGTTCTTTGCTTACTGTGTGACCTGACAATTTTTAATTACTTATGCAGAATAGTTAAGCATTTTTTTTTCCCATTTAAGTTCACTGTGTTGTGTGTTCCTCAGTTACATTTTCTTTTGTTTCTCTAAATTCTTGTTTTACATTTTGCAAATATGTCTCAAGTCTTCTCAAGCGATGCCTCAGCACATGCTGCTAGTACAACCATTAATGCGTCAGCCCAAAATTCGAGTAACTCCTTATCAAACGATAGACATACTCAGACTTCTAGCCTGCGTAATTTCAGTCGTGATCCGTATGATGCTATGCCATTGTTCAATGGTAACCCAGACAACCTTGAAGGTTGGTTTACCGCTGTTCGAGCCAGAGCTGATGCTTCAGTTGATGGTCTTCCATCTGAGAGTTGTTTAATCAGTATCGGAAAGGAGAGTCTAGCCCGTTCTCCAGCAGCCTCACATGTATTCAACTTAATTCGTATGAAGGACTTTCAAGATCTAACCAGGTGGCAAGATTATGAACAGTTAATTCGTAACTATCTTGAACCGGTGCGAGAAACCGATCTGTTTGTCGTTCTCAAAGAATTAGTTTGCACAGCTCCGAGGCCAGAAGAGTCATTAGATGAGTTTGCTCTTCGTCTTAATAACCTAATGTCCTCATTCGTTAAAGCAGGTCAAAATTCCAAGTACATACCTTAAAGATAACGATAAACCAGCCCTTGATGGGTTTGCCAAATTAGCCGCATTTGGAGTTATTAAACAACTAATGCCACCGACATCTATGTATGTGTACAATTCAAGTCCGCTAGATGCTACTATGGGACCACTCGCAGCTCTCATCCATGTACGAAATTTGTGTCCCGAGGGAACCTTCCCTTATCGTAAGTCTATGCCAACCACTTTGTCTACTCCTGTACCTCCTCTAGTTTGTGCTACTACCAAAACTCCCAACCTTAATCACTCGCGTCCATCATCCAAAGCTAGTGTTAAGAGCCATCATTCTCGTAGCACCCGTAGTATGTACAGTATCCACAGTCAAAGAATTTGCTACAATTG